CCCGGGCTGCGGCCTCTGCTGCCCGCAGGGCGGGAAGGGAATCGTGCGGGACCCGGGGCTGGACGGGCGCGGGGCTGAGGTGCCGACCTCCCGGCGGGAGCTGGGCAGGCCCGTGTGTCCTGACGGGGCCAAATTAATTAGGTTTTGTTAATTGTTTTGAAGCGGCCGCCCGGCACCTGAGGAGCTCGGCGGGGCCGATGACAGCGCTGCTCATCCCGGGTGGGTCTGACCCGTCACACGGGCCCGGGCCGGCAGGGACACGGGCTGGGACACCTTTGTGCTGGGTGGGAAGAGCCCTGTTCCAACATGTGGTGCTGTGTAACATTGGAAAGGTACGGCTACAGGTGGTGCTGCAATCGTTAAAACATTCAAAGCCATATCGGTAAGAGTAGAATTGGTTGCCCAAAGCTGCTGTTTTACCTGCATCCAAATAAAAACAATCATGCCAGAAACATGGAAATCTTAGGTTTTGTACAAATGATCAAGCCTGTACTCTTCACTTACTGAGGGACTGTGTAAAATGGAATTTGAATTATGTTTTAAAACACTAGTGGTTTTCACACAGTCTATGTAGTTGATGTTCAAGCTCTTTGCAGTTAGTAGCTGTTTCCGTAGGGTCACTGAACAACAGATGTAAAAAATATTACTGGCAATTCATAATATAACCATTTTCTATCAGACCATGTTCTTGTTTTTAAAACCAGCAACCTACTTCCAAGAAAACCCCAGGTAAATGTTTCTGCTCCAGAAAACACTAAAATACCTGGTACAAAAAAGAACAGCCTGCTTTTGCTTTTCTTCAGTGGTGCTGGCATATGCATCTATGTTTAGGGAAGCAGGACTAGCTTCCCTTTCCCTAAACTTCATTGTCTTTTGAATTACCAGACACCACTGTGGCCATTGTGAGGTGTCACTGCAAAAATACAAGATTGTGTTGCTCTGTAAATTTAATCCCATACAAGCTGTGTAAGAAGTTGTTTGATTTTGTTGAGTTTGTTTTTTTTTAAATGAAACAACCAACAGTGCTGAGCAAACCCCTCCCCAAAGCTTTCATGCTACAGTTGATCAGCATTAACTGACTGATTGATCCTCTACGAAGGCAGAAGTCTGGGTTGCTTAACTCCTGGTTGTGACATCTTGCATAAAATATTATTAATGATGGGCATACATTAGGCCTCTGTGTACATTTCTGTGTTGGTAGGGAATAGTTCTGTTTTTAAAAGTTTGACAAATTTCAAGTTCATAAATAGGAGTGATACAGAAATTAATGATCTGGCACATAGACTAAAGTAAATACCGGTTTGAACACGAAATTAAATGCCTCAGTGTAGTTCAGCAAGCATTGCTTCTGTGACATAGGAAATGGAGAAATATTACTCTTTTTTTTAATATGTGCTTTATTATTTGGAAGTCTCATACATCTGAAGTTCCATTGTAAGGAGCACCTGTAGGAAAATCAAACCTAGAAGCATGCATTTGAAAGTAAAGATTGTCTGTTATTAATTAAATATTTCAAAGATATTGAAAATAAGCCTCTTTTCTTAGCTTTGCAGGATTGCTCCACAAAAATGCACATTAACCGTATCACAGTACATACAAATATTGTGGATGGACAATAGAAATCACCACCCTTCCATATGAGATGCATCAAGAACAAATTGTTATCCCTCATAATGTTGGAAACATAAAAGGCACCATAATAGAATGTTTAGAAAAAACTCAGTTTAAGTCATTGTATTTTAAAAGTGTAAGAATTGGTGTCCCAACTGGAAAGAAAAAGCCTTTTACACCTGTAAATTATCATTAGAAACTTTAAACTGTTACATTTTTTTTTCCAGAAGTATCAGGTGCAAATACAAGGCAAATATAAAATCTATTTACTTATTAGAATACAAATACTACCCCATGAAAAATCTGTAGTTACAAAAATATAAAAAAATATTCTAACTCCCATTGTTAGGTCTTGGCTTCAATCTATGCTGCATTACGAGTCCAAAGCCAGATCTGATTTGGACACATTCCTAGAATAGGATAGTGCTGTCTGTATTACTTTTAGTCAATATTTGGACTTCTTAGTATGGTTTTGCTGGATTTATTTTCTTAGTGCATGTTAAGGATGTGAAGTGGAGAGTGCTAACAGATAAAAGGTTTTATCAATACTAGCAACATAAGTGTTCTCAATCTGCTGTCCTCCACGAAGTCCATTTCTCCAAAGATTAAAGTAGAAGTTTATTTTTTTTCTCCAAGCCTCCATAGTAACTCTATGTAGCTGAGGCATTTTATGAACCTGTGACCACGGGCAGGTGATTGAAAGTACCAATTCATTCTCACAGACTTCAGTAAGGAACTGTAAGAAGTATATCAACTGCTAATTCTGCGTCACAGACAAGTAGCTGCTGTTTCAGGGACTGTTACTGGCAACATCTTGTATTCCACACACAATAGATTAGCACGTGTTTTATCCATATGGTGATTCTCTAGCCCTTGGCTTCAGTAACCTGGATCAGCATAGGATGTTGAACCAGCTGCAACAGCAGCCTAACAAAGTGCCAGTAGACATTAAAATGAGTTCCTTGTAAATAATAACTTAAAATTAATCATTAGATTAAATGAGATATTCTTAATGAATAAACTTTATAAATGCTGAGCCTAAGCCTGATAAATGCTTATGCTTTCAGGGCTGAATACTGGAAGCTTATGTGTCTTCAGTACCTTATCAGTGCTAGCAGAAGGTGTCCAGCTTTCAGCTCCAGAAAAACAGAAGCCTTCTTTTGTCACACAGGAAAACTGGCATAGATTAGCAGAGTAGCACAGCTGTACTCCTAGATAGCAACCTTGTTCTGCTGGGTTTTAATGAGCACTCAGGATTGTTCAACCAGCAGCACGGCTGTGGAAGATTGAAGAGTGAGCTGTACTATCATCTTTATGCTTAATGCAAGACATTGTCCTTTAAATACCTTTTACTACATTAGAAACCATCCCCAGCATTTCTCCTGCTAGCAACATTCATTAGTCCTTGCCAGTGCAAGCTGGATTTTGGCCAGCTAACTGGTCTCTCAGTAATGTGCTTCCAAATGAATGTTCTCCATAGATAAAGCAATTCTGAAATAGTGTTGCCTTTTACCCTGCTTGAAAGGATTTACAGTACCCACATCTGCTTTGAAATAGTAACTTACTATGTTACATATATATAAAAGATGTGAGCTAACAGAAGACTCATGGAGTTGTCCTGACAGGAAGTGTTCAGACCTTTTATGCTGGAATAATATGTTTAACAGCATATGAATAAGAAGCTAATATTCCCCCTTATGTTTCAGTTCATTAAAATAGTGTTCAAGCAGACACCAAGTTCACTCCTCTGGTCAAAACGGTATATTCCACTCAGATTATGTTGAGATGGCAGGATTCCTTTTTAGCAGAGGTTTAAAGGTATCTGCACACATCTGCCAAACATATTTTTTTTATAATAAGAATGCTGTACTTACATGCTTTATCAGATTTGGAGAGCACTTCATACTTCACAACAACCAAAAAAATGTAAACCAAATAATACCTATAATATAGGCTTTTGGAATTTTTTTAGAACTTTAAAATGGGAAACATGTTCCTAGCTAACCAATAGCTCTTGGCATTTCTGTTTTATAAAAAAAACCCTCACACAACAGTTGTCATTCTAATGAGCAACTCTCTTCCCCAGCCTATTGAGTCAAATATTCATGAATGTAACTTCCAATCAAGGCACAAAATCATTTACTGGTTCTTTCTTCTCACTGCTTTCTTCACATTCTCCTCTTCCCTTTACAATTTAAAAAAAAAAAAAAAAAAGGGTTGGTGTAACAATGTCTTTTATGCCAGACATTAAATTTAGTAGTCCTATAATTCGTAGCAGTATCTGAGATTAGTTCTATCTATTTTGAATTTAGTTGATTTAGGTGAACAGCACATTCTCAGCACATCTTTGTTCATTTTCTACACTTGCCTTGACAGGGAGGGGACAAGGGGAAAAAGCCACAGTAGTTTCATGCATATTTTTCAAGAAATTTTATGTGGAAGTCTTTCACTTTGTCCAGTAGCATCTTCAGCTTCTCTACTGGAGGAAGAATGGTAATTCTGAAAAACAAAAAGTAAGGAAGAAAAAAAAATTACCCACATTTTCTTCAAACGAACTAAACTGTTATCTTTACACTGATCTTGATTAATCTCAGGGCACAGCTAGAATTGTGTTAAGTTTAATATCTGTTTTGATGTGGCTCTCTTATTCTCTGCATTCATGCTTTAATTGAACTATGCCATTAAACTAAATAACAGCAAGCCAGCTTCCATTTTTGGGACAGTTATGCCAAATTATACCCAGTTTTTTGAGCCTTAGGGGCTGGCAGTTATGAGTACATGTATATTTCTTTTTTAATTGAAAACTTAATTCAGAAGCACTGGATGAATGCAACATGCCACATGGCATTTTTTAGTCCCTTTTCCCATTCTTCTGCATAATCTAAAAGTCATATTGATACAGAAAAAAAAAATAGTCTTCCCACACTGGTACAGCTCTTTCCTGCAGCTGCATGTACCCAGATATCTAACCCAGCTATCTGTGCTGCAGAACTACCATGGCTAAGGGTACCCTCTGTTATGTTGCTTCAGACCAAACAAGACTCAATTCCATGATAAATTCTAGCTATCAGTGACTGCTGGAGTGAAGTACTGTTTATTGGAAGCAAAAGCGATAGAGTTCACAGTTTTGGTATTAGATTTAGTCCAACATCTTGTTTTGGTAAAGTGAAAAGTTATTCAGAATGTTTAAGGAGAGGATTTATAGAAAAGATACAGCATCTTTCATGCAGTTTCTCCGTATGGAAATACTGTTTAATCCTCTCTCCTGAAGAAAGCAGGACATGTTTTGTAATGCCTTGGCCGACTTTAAGATTAGAGTATAAGTTATTAGTATTGTTTATATTCCTAGAGAAGGCATTTCAGATCTCAGTGTATAAACAGAGGAAAACTATTCCAGCAAGCTGTGAAAACACTGTAATAACCTCATTAGTGGACCATCTAGTGGACCAGGTCTTTGACCTAGCTGTCAGTCAACAGAAAATGTCCAGTAGAAAGTGAGACAACATAAACTGAAATAAAAATCCTTCTATATTTAAGCTGCAGAAAAGCACTGGGATGGTACTTAGCTTATTGCGGTTCATTTGGTTTTAAGGAAACAGTAACTGTACCTGAAATGGTAGCTTCCTTCTTTTTGTCCAAATCCACTTCCAGGTACAACACATATTCCAGTCTCTTCCAGAAGTTCCATGCAGTAGAGCAAATCAGGTGCCATTTTGTGAGCCTAAGGAAATGGGTGCTTTGGAATTACTGAAGTAAAAATATTCCAAATACATAGAATTTCCTTGTTGCTTTTCTTCTGTAAACCTTATTGTACATTATTGGTTTCTTATTCTATTTACTAAAGAAGATTTAAAAAAAAAAAAAATGCTAATAGGACAGTTCACACTGTGAATTAAATAACAGTACTTACTGGAGGAACAAGACAGAAGAGCCTACACAAAACACTTGCTTCAGAAGATAGATTTTAGATATTTTTGTTTTTCTTCTTGACTTGCTTGTAACTATTTGTTCAAAGTGTCAAAATTGTACTTACAAAAATCTAAGCCACTGACATTTGACAAGATGAAATTAATTTGAGAGCTGTGTGTTCCAGTTACATTGGCAGTTACTATTTTTTTCCCCTGAATTATCTGCTGACTAGAAAGTCCTCTGATAAATAATTATGGAAGTTCTTAAATACATGCAGGTTATATGCCTAATCAAATAATCAGTTGAGAAACAGCCCTATTTTTGTCCACAGCTATGATGATAAAATTCCCTTTGAAAGAATATTATACATTAGGTAATAGAGCTCTAGTTAGGAACAAAAAGGCTTGACATTTAGTAATACAGCTTATTATCCCAAATACAAAAAGGTATTGTACAGAAGTAAAATTTGTAAGGAAACCTGCCTCCCTCTTTCCCACACTTGCTGAATGGGGCTTCATTTGCAGGGTCAGTAGTACACTGCCATTCACAGTTCCCTTTGCACAGGTCCAGCTGCTTGCCCACCCTATGAGTTAGTCTGTTTAACACTAACATTCTCGGGTAACATTCTTAGCCTGGAAGCCCCACCACTGTGCTGAAATGCTCTGTTTTGTTTTCCTCTCTTAAAATAAAGGTCGTGTTACATTTAAGATCATACAGAGTCAACAAAGTACTGCTTTTGTAACTACGTGAGCTCACTCTACCATTAGAAGATGCAGGCAAAAATGTGTGAAGGTTAAAATGGATTTGGGTAAAAATGACTGACTGACCTTTGCCTCCTCAATGGCTTTGGATGGAATAAAGATCCGTGGGAAGGCATACATAGCTCCTTGAAGTGGATTGCAGTGAATTCCTGGTACTTTGTTAAGCATGTCTTCTGTTAGTTTGGCTTTTTTGGCAAGGTTGTTCAAAACAGACTCTTTCTCCTATTTAAAAGGGAGGTGTTCAGTTTGACATGTTTGAAGTGGCAATAAAAACACCAGAGAAAACTACAAAGCCTTCCCTGAAATAACTTTTAGGGCTTTGCTGCACTATTAGAGCAAATGTGTCTTAAAGACAACAACACAAAAAGGCATTAGCAGGATACAACTACAAAGTGTAGATGGAAAATAACCTGCAGAAGGCTCTATCTGCATTCCCTCTTCTTACATTGTTTCTTCTGAGCATCTACTCTTGGCTATTTTCAGAGACAGTGTTAGCTGAACCTTTGATCTGACTCAATACTTCAACTTCTTGGGCCAGATTCAGTTTCATTTTTACAAGTGACAATCTATATGTATACTTTAATAGAGAGCATCATCTCCAGTATAGAGGGGCACTTGTCACCTAAGAACAAGGCTAATTTTATAACTGTACTTGAACTTAGATTCCTGTTTAGTTTTCAGTAAAAACAATTCTTGCTTAGTAATTCATTTGTCATGCTGAACACAGTGGAAAAGTTGAATTTATCAACAAGAAAGCTGATTTGATAAAGCCTTCTTAGCTTTTTTTGGCTTCTAAACAAAGGAACCACAAAAGGGATAAAAATATCTTTGAAAGCTGTCATATTGAGTTAATTTAAAACACCCTGTATTGTTCTGTAAATTGGTGTTACTACAGGATTCGCCATGAAGAAATTAAAGAAGTCTGGTGTCTGTGTATATTTTGTGTTCATCATTCTTAGGATAGGTTTAAGAAAGGCACAAAAGAACAAGCATGCTATTCCTGACCTTTATGAACTGTGAATAAGATTCTTCTCCAGGTACTGGAGGATTCACTACAATATCCATTGCTGCTTGTCCTGAGACTGGAGGACAAAGCCGAACAGAAAGCAGCTTCACAAGCTGATCTTTAATTTCTGGATGCAAGTTTATGACTTCCATGTAACCTCCTCTGTAGCCACATCTGTGATTAAAGTGAACAGAAAAGATCAGTTAACCTCGAGTGTAGGAATTGTGCAGAATTGGAAAGACAATTAATGAGGATATTACAATAAGTAACATACAGGTCATTGCAACAGCTGCTACACTAATGTTTTAAGATGGAACTAAATGATATGTCATTAAGTCCTAGTATCCCATACAGTGAAAACTGTGAACATGAAGCTTTCCTCTTAGGCAAGTTAACAATTAACTTGGATTGTTTGCTTTTCAGAACAAGAGCATATGGCTGTAGCAGCGTATATTTAATAAAAAAATATTTTTCTTCTATCTCTTCCAATGATTCTTGATCTTTTCCTTTGAATGTTGAAGACCACATTTTGCTTTATCATGGGTCTGGTTTAGGACTGTGGAATTTCACCTTTGTTGAACTGAGGCATTAGGTGTCTGAAATAAATATACTTATTTGGAACTTTGGAGACCACTGAGCTAATCCATTACTCTGTGCTTAAATGCTTGCTTTCCTTTTCTTAATAATTTTTAGTTAAAATTAATAGAAGGCAGTGGTTTACCTTCAGGTTACTAACATGAAACAGCTGTCCCACCAGATTAATGAGGAAGATTAAAATAAAGCAAAAAACTGAAGCAGACTTACTCGCCCATGTATCCCTTAGAGGTGGAGTGAAAAGAGGCCAGCTCAACATGGTTATAGTACTCGGGTCCCATCTCATACAGAATCTTTTTGAAAGAATGAAACTGGCATCCTTCAAAGTACACATTGTCCTGGTAAACCTGAATAGTCAGAAGACATTAATGTGCTCTGTTTCCTCAACTAAGGATAAAAGATCTAGCCTTTTAGAGAGCTAGGTCTGAACTAAAGAAGAAGTTGTAACACTCAAAACTTAATGCTGTTAGAAGACACAAGGTTCTTTGTTAAGTAGTAGTTACTGTGATGATATATTTTAGCCTTTGGAAGAAAAGTGAGCTTCTGTGTATAATTTAACCCTTCCTTGTATGTTTAAATAGATTTTTCTTCTGTCTCTTTCATTTAAAGTGGTCTAAGTATCACATAGGTTTCCAGGTCAGTTCCAGAAAATTTCCCCCTTGTGTCTCCTTGCTTGTGTCCCCTACACTTTCTTTCTAGCTCAAATCCAGATCAAGCCACCTCTCATATTAATCCTCTGATACTAGGAATCTTGTATGTTTGCTTATGTCTTAATATGATAACAGAGAACCTGTTCCCTGTACTTAAAAAATACCAATACCACACAAGGAACAAAATTACACCTCATATGCAAACTTTTGGTTTTGAGAGAACAGAATATTCCATTACCTCATCAGCCATAAGAAAAAGTTTCTCTTCCCAAGCAAAGTGTATCACATCTTCAATGCACTTTCTGCTTTGCACCTGTCCTATAGTTGGATTTTTAAAGCAAGAAGAAAGTTAGTGGAGCATATATATACAAATATTTTTGCCCAGACCTACTTAGACCACCAACTTTTTAATATTATATCCTTCTTTCTCAAAGAAGTGATACTGAATTTTAGAATTCAGTTCACTAAGGGTGAAAGCAAAGAACATTTTTGGAGGAAGGCAAAGCAAAGGGAAGTGTGAGATATAGCAATCAGTCAATAACTTAGTAAGAGTACTGTGAAAATAAGTGGTCATTTGAAATACATGCATGATGGTTAAGTTGGAGGTAGTTTCTCACTAATCAACCTCAACTACTCAAAAAACGAAATTCTTAAGAGGGAGGGAGTGGTTGCCACTGAGTTCAGAGCGTATCTGTAGTCAGTGCCTCTCAGAAACAAGAGGCTGCAGGCCACATCGGAGAGAAGAGCTTAAGACCAAAAGTGAGTGAAATTCATTTCACCAGTCTGTAGAAGTTCAGTGGAAGCAGTGGCTTCAAATGGGGTCCAGTGGAGTTAACCTGCTCCCTCCTCTCTTCCCAAACCCCTGCAATTCCATGATACTGAAAATAAGAGCACTGATCTCTAGAATTCAGCTTAACATATTTTATATGAATTCAGGAATTGCCTGCAATGTCAAATGAATGCATGAGTTTAAAAAAACAAACAAACAAACAAACAAAAAACCAACAAAGTTCTTAAAACCTGTCCATTAAACAAAATTGCTGTAGACCTGTGGGATTTCCGGGGTTGATGATGCAGAGCACTTTTGGATTGCAATATCCCTTAGCTTCATTCAAGGAACGGCGAAGTTCACTCACATCTAGAGCCCAGCAATTTTCTTCATCCAAATAGTAGTTCACCTGGATAGCATCTAGTTCAGATATGGCTGCTGAATATAAGGGATATTGTGGTATAGGGATCATCACTCCTGTTCGGGATTTTCCGCCTCCTGAGACCAGGATCTTTAAAATTGTCTGGGGAAAAAGTAGGAATTAAAAATAAATAAATAAAATAAAACATCTCATGCCAGAATTAATAGTATAGTCTAAAATAAGTTACTAGACTTCTTTCCTAAAAACTATAGTTAATGTAGATTTCTGTTGTAGAAGCATATGGTCATTTTCTTATATCAAAGGGCATTTATTTATTTCAAGTTAAGTTACTGGCTGAATGAGGATGATCCAGCTCAGCTAAATGAAATTCCTCTTCACGTCACAGCTTCTAAAGATCATGTCTGATCAACTGCACAAGGCTGGGGGGAAAGTTGGTAACAGGAGTAAAAAGATTATGATTTTTCTACTGTGTCCAGTTGTAAGCAAAGAAGCCTCAGCTAGTTGTTGTTTGTTTCCTTCCATTCCTTTTATCTCACTGGACACAAGAGGCCAATAAATAAAACCAGAAATTAGAACTGAGACCTGAGGAGGTTCTCCTTTGGAACAGAGACACCTGTTTTAGATTAGGAGCAATTGTTGCCGGGTGGGAACAAAGCAAGAGACTTGCATTATGTTTTCATTTTCAAATAATAGAAGAGGTGAAAGTCTGAATGTCTCGGGATGTAAATTTAATGTATCCTAAGTAGTTTAAGCTGAGAAGATAGAGACAGAAATGTAATGCTTGTGCTAAGGCTAGTCCAGAGGATTTACCTGTGCCCAGTGGCTGTGTGTCTGTGTGTTTGTGTGTAGGCTTTTTACGTGTCAATTAAATAAGAGAGTGTATGATGCAAGTGGAGATTTTTTTTTTTTTTGCCTGTGTAATCAAGGAAGATCTTTCAAGTACAGGTGCAATCAAAGCAGGCATCGTTCTCAATATGTAATTGATAGTGTAAAAATAAAAATACCTCTTCAGATATATGAAGTTTCTCATCAGTTCTAGATCAAAACCTATCTTTCTGTGCCTCCCATCACATACTAACTCAGCTGCTAAGCTAGTGATTTATAATCAACATAAATTTGTACCCACCACTACTTTAAAAATACCAAGCATGCAAAATTTATAATCAGGACCAAATGCAAATTTTAAAACTCTTTAAGACCCTCTGTCCCCCAAGTTATGAAGCAATAGCTGTTTTATCCTTGAAAATGCTAAATAATAACACTCATTGTGCTGCTGACTTTTCATCACTGGTGAAATCCAAGAAGCGTGGTGCAGATTTTATATGCTGCGCTGGCGTTCCTGACAAGCTGCCAGTACAACACTTGGCATCATAAACTCTGGAAAGCCAATTCAATAAAGACATCTGGGGAGCTGTTCATCTCAGAACACTGTCATACTGAACTCTACCACTAGATGTCATTTTAAAAAACCCCAAACTTTTACAAACGAGCTAAAAAAGGCTACCTTACTAAAAGCAAGGAACTGCTGGTGTTTGTAATGTCAGCAAATGTGTCGTGTAAAGGAAATATCTAACAGAGACAGTTATTCCTGTCTTAACGGAAGGTCATCTTTCAACATGGTTGAAGCTAAAACCTGCAGTTTTCCACAAACAAGCTGACTACTGAAATAGATCTTTGGGATTTCCACTGGCATTAATTTGCAGTAGCAGACAGTTTACTTAGAAGAGCTGTTGAGACTTCTCCAAGGTAGTTCCCTCCTCTCTGCTACTGATTCATACTCTCTCATCTTCTTTGTTTATGTATCTTAACCACTGAGGATACCATTATTTAGCCTGTGTGGTCTGACTCTCCTAAATTTACATTTAGGAACTTCTGTAGTGCAAACTACCTTTAAAAAAGGTATAAGCTAATGTATGTTAAGAGACTTTGTCTCCATTCACCTATTTCTTAGCTGGCATTTTATGTGCACATAACTAGGTGTACTGGACATCCACTTAATGTGACGTAAGTATCTGCTAGATCAAGCTCATAGGAGTTTGTGAGACCAGGTCTCCAACAGAGATCTGTATTTCCAAACATAACTGATAAATCATAATTTATACCACAAAGATACTGATTTAATTTTAACTCTTACAGCAATACCATCACTTGCTCCAGTGGTAAGATATATGTTGTCTGGATCTGCAGGAACTCCTCCATCTCTTCTTGTAATATATGAAGCAACATCCTCACGGATGCAATTTATACCTTGACTGGCAGTATAAGCTCCTGAGAAAAATAGAAAATTAACTGAGAATTGAGTATAACGAACATCAGATTTTCTGTTTGCTAGCAAAACTCCTGAGGTAGTATTGTATGAAGTATTTTCTACATATGAGGTCTTCGATCCCCAGGGTTGGTTTTGCTAATTCTTGAAGGAGTAGGAAAGGGAATTGGTTTGTTTATAGAGTAAAATAACTAATTTGAAATTAGAAAAAGCTAATAACTATCACTAAAATACCAATAAAAATGTATACTAGGTTGGTAAAAGGATTTAAAGGCTACTTTGCAATCTTGGACAGCAATCCCATTTTTACTGTCTCCCACTTGCTTTCTTTATGTTGAAAACCACTTTAGAATGTCAACCAACAGGTATTTAAGTAATGAGAACAAGGGATAGATGTAGCATGTGGAATAGAAAGGAGAATAACTTATTCAAATCCATGACGTAAGGATTGTATTTGTAGTTTGAAAAGAACATAATACCATTTTGTCCCATAGTCTCAAACCCAAAAAATCCTAAATGGCTCTCCCTTTCACCCAGCATATCCCACAGCCACTTTCAGTTACTTGTAGCAGAAATATACAGCACCACTGCAATTTATAAACTTCATGCACAGTTTAGAGAACACCACTAATAATCTGAAATAAAGTGTTAGATTCCTGTGTGCATCATTGCTGAGCACGTGCAACAAATAAACCTAAGCCAAGGTGAGAAATGTATTCAAGCTATGAAACCTAAGACTGATGTACAATGAAGTGACAAGTGTACATCTAATTTAGAACACTGTCATGAAGCTGCAGAATCTTCTTTGCTTGTTGGATGGAGTGGAATAATTGTGCCTGACTTAACTCTCATCACTCAGTTATCTTCTAGTATTCTGCCTGATAATACTTCTGTGGAAGCATAATTGACAAAGACAAAGAACCTTTGCAAGTTCTGCACAATGGCATGGGACAAAATGGTATTTCAGGGCACGACGTTCCCTGATGTCCTAAAAGTTTACTTTTACAGACTAAAAGTTATATTGGGTATATACTGGGGTCTTTGACCACAGCTATGAAGCTGCTGTTAAAGTAGGAGAACAATCCCAAGTTATCAATCTGTCCTGTGCTCCTTTGAGGACCAATTCCCATGCCTCAGTGAGGATTTACAGAATTCAGGATTAACCTGAATTCAATTTTCAGGTCTTCTACACTCAATTGTACTCATTGGATAGCTTTGACTAGAAACTGACTGCTTGTACTGTGGGATGCAAATTAATAAACCCAGCCCAAAAAGCTGCATATGCATATATTAGATATTTTTATATATGGAAGAGGTGTAAACTTCTCAAATGCCTGGAAAGATATGACAGTTTTCCCACATGCAAAGTAAGTGATGTCAAAGGAATCTAGGAGTATGTGAACACAACAGAAGTTGAGGACATATCTTAGATTTCATACATGGTCTGGCAGTAACAAGACTCAGTAGAATGAGCAGGGTTTTGTCATATGAATGTTCATTGGAAGTGAGGTTATTCTAGTTCATATCCAGAGGTCAAGACACTCACATTAACTTTGAAATTAATACATTTAAATAGACTGTATCTATTATATAGATGTGAGTACAACGCTTCAAAGAGCTTGACCCATATGTAGTGAAGCCACTTGTGTGTTGGATTGACCATTTTAAATTTTTTTTAATATGGTTTTATTAGAATGTAACACAGCACTTAAAGCTACATGGAAGGGTCAGGTTTTGACCTTTGCTTTTTCCAAAGAAAGCCAAGTTCTCATCAGCCACAAAGAGAACAGCAATAAGTTGTCAGACTACTAACAAAGCAGTAGGAATAACTTCCGTTCAGCTGTGGATCCACTAGCCTCAGATAGCGTGTTTATGGAGTGCTGTACAGAGGCTGATGAGCAACTGAGGCCAAGAGAAGGGGCTGATGTGTTACTGGAGACAGGGAGGGTGGAGAGAAGGCATAAACCAGTACAGCAGACCAGTAAGGTCTACAGTGGTTTTAGTATTCAGGAATTTAGAATGACAGTTTTTCTTGGTACATAGCCTGTCATGAAAAAATAATTTAGACTCCAGCTACTTACAGAACTTCAGTGTATCCACTGAAATGAAAAGAGTGTATTCAGGATGATCACCTTGTTTGAATACTGTAAGTGTTTCAGGCCTACTTCCTCGGCATCCACTGAGCTAAAGCAAATTACTTGAAGTAAGTGATCCTCTGCTGAACAGAGGATTTTGCATGCAGCCAAGATATTTCTGAAATATCATGCAAGGATTAATTCCTTTGATTTCACTCCAGCATGGGGCCAAGACCCCACATTCTGAGAACTCTTACAACCTCCCTGAATTTGAAAATCACTACAAAGAAAGGTTGAGGCAAAATTCAAATGTATCCCTGGTAACTCTTTACATGACAACTACTACTATGTGGATTAATTGTTCCCAAGTAAGCCAGGAAAGGAGTTCATGGAGCTAGAGGAACTTCTCAGTTCTGATAAATGCATTTTTGATGTCCTACACATAGAAACAAAACCAATGAAAAAAAAAAAAAAAAAAAGGTGAAATTAAAATGTGTTTGGTATTAAGCTGTGTTGTTAGGCATAGTCCAAGGCTGAAATACCACTAACATAACCACTGTTCAGATTTTGTTTATAGTTCCAGAACACCTACTCTGAAAACATGCCAGTGCAAACAGGCACTGCAATCACAAAGATGAAGAAATACACCAGTTACTTATAATACATACTCTGAAATGTCATTCTTAGCCTACCTGAAAGAAGGTGATTCAGTGTGCCAGATTCTCTGTGGTACCCCATGGCACAAGCAGGCAGCTACTGCTGCACTCCAGACCTGTATCATCCTCACCTTGTCCACTTCTGTGACAAGTCTCATCAAAATGTGCACAATGTGTCACTCCTTATCAGGAGGCCATACCATGAACTCTCCCTCTATCATTTTGCCCTAGGACATCTCCTGTTTGGTTTGTAATCATACTCAAAAGATTAAGAAATGTCATCACCACAGATATTGAAACTACCTTTGTTGGTTCTAATACCAAGAGGAGCAACTGAACAAGGCACTTACCTAAGCTGTTACCTCCACAGCCCTGCAAGATCCGTCTAGCTCGCTTTTTGGCATCTTCTGGAAAACTTGGGCTGTCCAACAGGTTTGGGTATGTACACAGTGCCACAACCTAGAGTGCCAAGAAAAAGTAAATTGATGACTTCTCAATGGTTCAAGTTGTTAATATTACTATTAATTTTCCTTGTAAATGAAGATCACAGATACTAGTTAATTTAAAACCAAGTTTATTGATTAAGAGTTTGCAGTTGTTTTTTTTAAGGGTAATGCTTATGGAAGTGAAAAAATTTAACTGAATTCCAAGTTCTGCTGATAAAAACAGTTATAGAATTTTTAACTATTTGGGTTATAGACAGTGAAGATTGTAGTCTGAGTGAGCTGTGCATAGTGCAAAAACGGTAAAACACAATTATTCACACGTTATCTCTAAGCAGCTCTCTCCTCCTTTCTTTCTGTATTACTAGCCCACTTTATTGACAAGAAATCAAGAATTTAAATGTGGAGCAGAACTGATAAATATGATCAAATTTGGAAGTCCCAGTTGTATGTTCTAATCATTATTCCCAAAAATAACTTATTACTAATTTGGATTTGTGGGGAATATTTAATTTAAAAAGAAGTGATGATATAGAACATCATAAAAGTAGAAACATGACCTAGCAGAATTAAGTTTATGAAGGAATGTAAGAAGCAAAGAATCTAGAGGTCTTGCTTGAGATCAGCTGAATTTATTCCACTCTCATTTTTACACATACATGGTGTAATATGTATAGGCTGCTGTCATTTTATGGGACAATGACTAAAGAATTATTCCATGTGCACACATGGTCATGGGGAGAAAGGATTTCCTATTTACCCAGCATTTTCTTCAATAACATTGGTTCTGCATAATTTGTAAGACACTCTGGTATTCCTAGTTTGCTGATAGTTTGATGTGCAGCTTGATTTTATCGTCTCATCACCTGGCCCCAGTTTGATAGAGCTTCAGTTTGTCCTGGCACTTGGAATTTGCATTATTGTAGACTGAGGATTTTACATGTGTATGTGTGTGAGGGATGCTCCATAAATAGCATATACTGGTTTTAAACCCTGCTTGTTTTTTATGAACAGTGTACAAACGTGGATTCTGTTGTGGTCTTTCCTAGAAGTTAACAAACCATTTAACTTGCCCAGAGGTAAAATGTGTAAAATCAGCAACAATACAACTAGTTGTACTCAACTGCATGGAGATCTTAAAGTTTACTGTCAGATGAAGAAATACAGTTGCTTTTTTCCTTGAAGATGACCACTTTATTTTTTTAAGTGCTTTATTGATAATGAGTGTGCTGACTGATAACATAGAAGTGACAGAAGAAAGTATGGATGGGGAATGATCTGAAAAGTAAGGAAAGCTACTGTGTTGAAGGAGGACACTTAGCAAGCAAGGTATAGAACTTTGTCTCAGAAATCAAATGTTGTAACTCTTTACAAAAGAACTATCTTAAGTCTAAGAGCATCTACTGAATTATTTATACTGATACACACATCAGAGAGATTTTACGGTGTTCTTGGTAATCTAGTAAAAAAAATCAATAATAATATTTTTATAATATGCTTACCTGACGGAGGAAGGTGATTGGCCTCTGTCCCATTGCATGTGCATCTCCAATGTTGGCTTTAATTACTTCAGTAAAAGGTTTTTTGATTCCCTAAAAAGAGATAATTCACAATGTATTGTTAGGGATGAAGTAGATGATAAAGAATTCCACTTTTTTGATATCTATCATATGGCTGTAACTGTCCTTACTCTCAGAACAGAATGTTTAATATAAAGCTTAATAAATTTCTTATACAGTAGTGCCAATAGAACTTAAATGCTTTCCAGAAATGATGCTGTGACACATTTTGAAGTGATAGGCTAGTTCACAGGGTTTTTTCTTTTAGCTACAAGTGAGAGTATGACTTTCTTGGAAACTACACATTGAAGAAGATGAAAAAGAGGCATTTTGAATTGTCAGTACTAGAGCAACTTGTCTGATACACCATGGGGAGAGATGGATCAGGCAAGAAGCTGAAAAGACTTAAGGACATTTGAGAAATAAAGCAACAAATGAAACCTCAAGACCCTTACTACTTTTTAGAGTAAAAACAGTAGACATACTGCATGATTATTTATTTTCTATTTAGATTAAATATTCATCATGTGATGACCCCACTTTTCTATATGCAGATGTTTCACAAAGTGTATGATAGTGAAGCTCTATATGATAAACAGCAGAAGTGCTAACTAGTCATCATGAATATTTAAAAGCTTTCTAATCTCTGAAATCTGAACAGCCAGCCATTTTTCCTGGGAGGAACTGAATATGTCATAAGAACAGAGGGAAAAGAGCTGATGAATGTTGATTAACAATCATGGCTCTTTAAAAAGCAAAATAAAAGAAAGCAAAAAAGGGAAGGAACCAACTGGTAGAAAAAAAAACAACCAAACAACCACCATTGATTTAAATAGAAAACGATGAACTGAGAGTAAAGGCCAACATGACAAGAAGAAAAGAAAAAATAAAAGGATAAATTAGGTAGGCAAGAAAAGATGTATGTTTTTTGTAATATATATTGAAATATGAGAGATAGTAGGGATCCCTTATAACAATGACAGAGTTTTCAAGTGGACTAATGAACTTCAAATTTAGACCAACTAGTTTTCTGTACAAAATAACATCTAACAACCTGCTCTGGCTGTGAACTGAACTCTTCCTAACCAGTGTATTTACAGCAAGTTATTTGCTTTGTATACAGAACGTATGTCTGGCAAGGCCTAAATAATTTTTGCTTTTCTACCATGGATTATGAGTTGGATTTCAATGACAGACTGGATCCCAGATGTGCAAAGCTAGCAGTGACCAAAATATTAGTCAGGGATATCAGGGATACAAATTCCCATGCCAAGATTTGGAGGTTTACAGCTGTGTAATGTGGCTGAGAGATTATGTGATAATGCAAGTATATAATCATCACCTACTCCATAAATCCCACACTACCTTTGCTACTAAAATGATTGATCTGGAGAGCACAGGAAAACAAACATAACAGTAACCTTACTGTAAAATCCCAGCAGAGAAGGAACAATGAGGTTTTCTGTGTTGTAGCCAGTGTTCCCACATGCTTGCTTAAGGGCCCATGGTCCTTTTGACTAACTTGTATTTCTTGGTCTCAGCTACAAGAGCTATTGCCCTTTTTGTCTTTCAGAAGAAGGATTCTTTTAACTGGGACCTTTGCCTTTCCTGACCATGAGTTAATATAAGCAATTGTTTAGAACTGCCTTAATGAGGTTCACTACATCTCCTCCTAGTGAAATATTTTTTTTCGTTATATTTTTCTATTCCTTGTTTTCCTGTGTTTTTATGGAGAGAAGGAATATCAGATGTTACTCAGATTTAGTTTTGACTCCTCCAGAACAAAAAGTCCCTTCTTACCATTTCAGAAAGAAGGAACAGGAAACAGTAACAGGCAAGAAGAACAAGTGTCAAATGTTAATAAGTCAAAGTTTAAAAGCAAGAATATCAGAAGCTGGCAGAGGACAGTGCCTATGACTCTGCAGATGACTTCAAGATGGAGTTCTACTTAAACCCATAAGACAGAGTGGCATTAGTCACTGGTTACTTGTGTCAAGGTTTCTCCCATGGTGGTGGCACTGATATGCCTGGGTATCCAAGAGAAGGTTAATGTCAAATACTTTTAGGGAGGTCTATGAAAAGATCTGTATGAAAGGAGAAAGTGTGAATGTGATGTTTATAACCTCAACATCAGGTTGTGAGACAGCAGGAAAAGTGCTGCAACAGGTCATGGTTTGCTAGGGCAGGATTTTTTCACTGCAGATGGCTAAGCAGTCTTTTGCTATGTTAACAACGTGCCTTTGCTGAGACAGTTTAAGTCCCTGGCAAGGCAAGGAACATACAGAAGGTGTAGAAACTAGGCCATTGAATTCTTGTGCTTTTCTTTTAGTGATAGACAGCTGCTCCCCTACTCTGCTTATCTTTCAATACTCTCTCTCATACCCCCTCTCTCCCATATTCTCTCTCTCTCCCAGTCTGGGCAGGTTTTCAAGGTGCAGTCTGACTGGATTGTAACTGGCCTGTGTCAACAGGCAGGGATTTGGAAAAGTAAAACTTGCAGAACAGGAGGTCTAATAACACACTGTGGTGCAGTAAGTACCAGAGTGATACTCAAGTCTACAGAAAAGAGTATGAACCACATCAAAGAGGAAAACCAATCCTCAGCCCTACAAAACAACCACTGCTACAGTCTTCTACCTTTGGTGGCACTTCACACTGTCCTAACAATATGATCAGTCTTCATCTTGGCAACAAAGCTAATCTTCTGCCATTCTTTTGAAATTGTTAGCAAAGGGACTAATTGCAGTAACCATTTTTAAAGCTGAAGAAGCCATCTTGCACTTTCAAACTAAGAAGTAAAGCAGAAAGTACAGAAATGTGTGTGTTTTGGGTTTTTTTTCAGTTGCTGTCTTCTTGATTTTGAAAGGATTTTAATGAAATAAAGGAATCTTCCCAGATTTGGAATAAGCTCTTTGAAAATTAGTTCCTTCAGCAATTACTTCTGTCACTTTCCTCTTCTCAGTGGAAATGCAGTCTTTTAAGAGACCAGATGAAAAGCCCCTGAAACATGAAGCAGGTCAGACAGGATTATTCTAACAACTACATCAGTGTTCTAAGTATCACACAAAGTTGGGGGAACGAATTTTCATACGTGAAGCAAAATTCATTCGTGCAGTCTCAATACAAATTTGTCCCTTCTTGGCTGCTCTCATTGTTTCATTTTCATTGCCACTGCTTTGTGCCTCCTTCAGATGGTTATCAGACAAACACTTCACACTACGAACCATTGTGCTATTTCCTTAACTCAAGCTGAGTCTGGTTTTGCAGTGACTTGCACAAACAAGCAGTATAATAAGAAGCTGGCAAAACCGAATGTTTCAGCATAGTTGAGATCTATGCTGTAGTAGCCAAGTTTCTTGCTTGCCTTTTTTTTTTCCTCACAAAGGGCCAAGAAAGCACTACCCAGAGGCCCTTAACTAATAGGGACTTGAAGGCCTGAATTAGCATTCCAATCTTTTTATTAAAACAGCTCACAGCAGATAAATAAACCTGACCTGCTTAGCACAGAGTAAGGCTTTGAGTTTGTGTTATGCATGTGTAATTCAAGCTGACACGAACTGTTTTTGAAAGGAAGGAGAAAGCAAATTCTGGATTTTGACTTGAAATGGTCATGCCCCCTGATATCAGCTGAGAAAATTGGTTGTGCTGACCATTAATTGGCAGATCTGATTCAGGGATTAGAGAACAGGAGTTGTCCTCAAGTTACTTTTGCCTTATACATTGTTCAAAGTGCATTTGCTTTCAGAAATTTTGCCTGTGTGACTAAAGCCCTAGATCTTAATGTGTCAGTAATTGACAGAATCAAAATAATGCTTATTAGAAGGAGATTAGACATTAGAACCCTCTTAACTTGAAGACCTGTTGGAAAAGGGCTGTTTTGGAATAGATTTTACTATTGCGTTGAGCAAGAAAATATCATATAACTGGATCTTGCAGACTGTGTGCTTCTGAACATACGATTTTGGCAACTGCACTCTTAAAACATTTTCTTTCATCTTCATCTGCAGTAGTTTTTGATAAAAATCATAGGTTTTACTACAGGTTCACTTCCATGTGCAACATGTACAGGCAACTGAGGAACAACAGTTCTGTCTTAATGAGGTCAAGTGCTCTTGCCTGGGAGATGCTTTCTTAGTGTGCACACAGTCACGTATTCGAAGCAGAAAATTATAGGATAGTAATTTCAGCTTAACATCTTTCATACTTGGTGTACCAGTCATTCTTGTATCTTTTTCTTGGCACATCAAATTATATTTCTGCATGTCACTGTCTAAACTGTGATTTATCTTTCCACAACTTCCAGGGACACAGTCAACCACAGTCAACTCACATTTTCAATTAAGTCTCTATTCTAAGTCAGAAAGTTTTCTATTTAATTTAGAAGACTGAATAATTAGTTAAAAAAAACACCTCTGCAGACTTTTAATCAACATACATCAGCAGACGCTGCCTGAGATTATAACTACATAAGTATAAGGAGCATTTGTAGTCATACTATCTAAATGGAAATGTAGGGAGTGAACCAGTGACTTGAAGAATAAACATGTAACAGGAACCTATTTGCAATAGTTATGGAAATGAAAAACACTGGCACAGGACATGAGTGTACAGTCATTTTACTGTAAAAATAAGTCAGAGTATAGTGGCTCTGCTCAGAAAAATATGGGTGTTAATGTGTATAGAGACTGCTTATTGCCATTAAAGGCACATAGTTCCAGACCTAGTAGTGAAATGTGCTAATCCATGCTGATAGGAAAGAAGTTTCTACCAATGTATCTCTGCATACCATCCCTCTACCCCTTTCTGCCCTGCAATTCTGTTTCAGTGACTTCAAAGTTTCAAATGGGGCCTTAAGGTTGTGTCACTGACACTAAGCCAGGCAGGTTCCAATGTAACATGAGTTGACTTGAGGACCTGAAAATGTTGTTTAGTATGAACATGCTTTGCAAGCTTGTGTAAGCCAACTTAACCTGATATAGAACTTGACATAATGTAAAACCTAAGCAAGAAATGGGAAAAAAAGGAGA